TGCTTAGGTGATTGTCGAGGTCTGCCGGTAATTTATTGTAAATCACAAAAGCTGGAATTGCCGGTTGATCAGGAGAAGCGATAGGCTAAACTCTATACACGCATGTATGTATGTGCAGTTTAAGTTTGGGTAACAATCCGTTGGCCTTATCCTTAATCTCCCAGTTTTCTACTATATGAGCTTATATAAATCAGTAATCATTGTTTTTTAATTTTTGTACTACACACTATTAACAACTTATAATGCTATTATACTGAGCAAATAATTTTAAACATTGTCATGAATGTAATTCCATAACCATGGTTCAAGATTGTTGCGATATTATATGATTATGAAGTGAATATTGTCCAAATTTAAATATCTGACTTCGAACCGTATTGAAATATTTGATAAACCGCTTAGTTCCGCTGTTTACATCTCAATTTTGACGGATCATCTTATTTCTGATTTTCAGCATGTCATGAAAATAATTAAAGATCGTATGACATAATTATGACGAAAATATTGGCCAAATTTGAATAGCTGACTTGGCCTCAAAACAGGAATATTTGACGGTTCGAGTAGTTTCTCCATTTAAACCTCAGTTTCCTTTTTTAACTTTGATATTATCGTCATATCTTGAATATGATTATCGTTAAGATGATTATTTTTTATAAATGTGACATGACTATTGGCCAAATTTGAATATCTGATTTCGCCAAAAATTGGAGTATTGGACGAGTCAAGTAGCTCCTCGATTTACACCCCAATTTTCATAATTTCCTTTTTTTAACTTTGATATTATTGTAATATCATGAATATAATTATCGTTAAGATGGTCATTTTATTACATTTTACATTGAGATAAATATTGGTCAAATTTGAATATCTGACTTGGCCTCAAAACAGGAATATTTGACGGTTCGAATAGTTTCTCTATTTACACCCCAATTTTCATAATTTCCTTTTTTTAACTGTGATATTATTGTAATATCGAGAATATCATTATTGTTAAAATGGTTATTTAACATGATTGTGACATGAATATTGGCCAGATTTGAATATCTGATTTCGCCAAAAATTGGTATATTGGACGAGTCAAGTAGCTCCTCCATTTGCACCCCATTTTTTTTAACTTTGATATTATTGTAATATCATGAATATAATTATCGTTAAAATGGCAATTTTACATCATTGACATAAATATTGATCAAAGTTGAATACCTGACTTTGCCCCAAAATACGAATATTTGACGGTTCGAGTAGTTTCTCCATTTACACTTCAACCTCCACAGTTTCCTTTTTTAATTTTGATAATATTGTAATATCATGGATATAATTATTGTTAAGATGATTATTTTATATAAATGTGACATGAGTATTGGCTAAATTTAAATATCTGATTTCGCCCAAAATTGGAATATTGGACAGGTCAAGTAGTTCCTCTATTTATACCCCAATTTTCATATTTTCCTTTTTTTAACTTTGATATTATTGTAATATCATTAATATAATTATCGTTAAGATGGTTATTTTGTATAATTGTGACATGAGTATTGGTCAAATTGGAATGTATGATTTCGTCCAAAATTGGAATATTGGGGCCCTCTGTTTACACCCCAATTTAATTATCGTTAAAAGGACATTTTACATCATTGTCAAACCAATATTGGCCAAATTGGAATATGTCACCATTCGCCTAGTTCCGCTCTTTATTGCCCAATTTTTACAAATTCCTCCATTTTTAACTGAGTTTCTTTTTTCCATTTTCTATTTATTCCACATTTTATCATAATGTCTTAATATTAAAAGATATTTAGGGTGATTGTTTCACGTCATAATTTTGGCCAAATAATTAGTTGGAAGATAATAATTTGAATGTTTTATGATTCGCCTAGTTTCGGTGTTTATTTTCATAACAATTTTCCTTACATAATAATTTTAAATTTATTATTTATCAATATATCAATAAATTATTATTATTATAATTTATTATTATATTAATGCCATAAAAATGATTAGAAATCGTAGCATTGATTTTTTTTTTCTCGCAAGACATGAAGTTGACCAAATGATCATTCGTGCCGTTGTAGATTAGTTTCGCCGTGTACACCCCAATTTTTTTTTTTTTTTTACTTTCATATTGTCGTAACATCATGAAAATAATTTAAAATATCATTTGAGAACATTGTGCCGTCAATATTTGCCCAATTGGACTTTATGATTATTGGACTTTATCATTCAATCATGACTCTCCCAAATTGGAATATTTGACAGTTCGAGTAGTTCAGCTATCTTTTCCTAAAATTTCACAGGTCTATTTATCTTCAACTAGCTTATTATCGTAATGCTAATAAAATAATTAAAAATTTGGCTGGGGATCTCAACTCACATCATCATGGCGTAAATATTAGTCAAATTTGGAATATTTGAACTCGCTTTGTTTCGCCGTGTAGGCTCAAATTTTCACAGATCCTTTTATTTTTAATTTTCATACATTAACGGCATGAAAATAATCAAAATGATTACCACGATAGTTTCATAAGATGTTGACGTGAATATTGGCCATACTATACATAGCCTCGAATTCAAAAATTTAATAAATCGCGTAGTACTGCTTTTTTCTGCCCGATTTTCACTAACATTTTTATAGTTAACTGTTCATATTTTGGAAAAGTCATAAACGTTAGGATGATCATACATCATCATGACGTCAGTATTGGCCAAAAAATTTCAATAGTCTGCATTATAATTGCCAATATTCTCGATGATCCACAAATTTTCGAACATCGTTTTATTTTCTCTGCAATGTTATCATAATATCTTGGAAATGATGAAGATAATTTTATGGTAACTGTGATGTTATCATAATATAATGTAATTGATTAAAAGACGGGTTAAAATCAACGACTCACAACATCATGACGTCAATATTGGCAAAATTTCAATATTCTACATCATATTTGACTATATTCGCATTGTTCCATCAATTTTAAAGATCCTTTTATTTTAACTGTGATGTTATCATAATATAATGGAATTGGTTAAAAGATGGTTAAGACGATTGAACATCATAATGACGTCAGTTTTGACAAGTGTCATTTTGAAATATATCATAGTTTCACTGTTTACACCCCAATTTTCATGATCGTCTTACATCATCATGACGTAAATATTGACGAAATAATTAATTATTCGTCTCTTATTGGAATATTTGACATTCCTTTATTTCCCTATTTGCACCCCATTTTTCACGGGCAACTTAACATTTCACTTCCGTTAGAAGATTTATAGGTCGTTTGATAACATTATAACTTGTTATCGGCAAAATTTGAATATTTCATTTTGCCCCGTGTAAGAAGTTTGCACCCCAATTTTCATAGATTCATTTTTTCAAATTATCAAATTATCTTAAGATCGTGAAAATGATTGAATATTTTTGGGATCAAGGTGTAATAAATAATTGATAAATCGAAACATTTGACTTCCCTCCGTGCTGAAATGTTGGATAATTCGCGTAGTTCCGCTGTTTAAACCTAAATTTTCATAAATCCGTTTTTTTATATCAAATTATCTTAAGCTCATGAAAGCGATTAAATATCTTTAAGATTTGTTTTTCATTATCAAGGTGTAATAAATAATGACCAAGTCGAAATATTTGACTTCCCTCCGTGCTGAATGTTGGATAATTCGCGTAGTTCCGCTGTTTACGCCCCAATTTTCATAAATCCATTTTTTTAAATATCAAATTATCATAAGATGGTGAAAATGATTGAATATCTTTAGGAAGATTTGTATTCCATCATCAAGGTGTAATAAATAATCGATAAATCGAAACATTTGACTTCCCTCCGTGCTGAAATGTTGGATAATTCGCGTAGTTCCGCTGTTTGCGCCCCAATTTTCATAGATCCATTTTTTTAAATATCAAATTATCATGAGATTGTGAAAATGATTGAATATCTTTAGAAAGATTTATATTCCATCATCAAGGTGTAATAAATAATGGTTAAAACGAAACATTTGACTTCCCTCCGTGCTGAAATGTTGGATAATTCGCGTAGTTCGCTGTTTACACCTAAATTTTCAAAAATCCGTTTTTTTATATCAAATTATCTTAAGATCATGAAAACGATAAAATATCTTTAAGATTTGTTTTTCATTATCAAGGTGTAATAAATAATGACCAAATCGAAATATTTGACTTCCCTCCGTACTGGAATGTTGGATAATTCGCGTAGTTCCGCTGTTTACGCCCCAATTTTCATAGATCCATTTTTTTAAATATCAAATTATCATAACATTGTGAAAATGATTGAATATCTTTAAGAAGATTTTATTCCATCATTAAGGTATAATAAATAATGGTTAAATTAGAAATGGTTAAATCTATTTATTTTTTAATTATCATCGTAATGCCATAAAAATTATTAAAGTCCGTTAGAATAAATACATATACATAGATATAAAATACATCATTAAAATTAAAAATTGGTCAAATTTGGACAAATCGACATCGTCCCGTGCATGAATATTTGACAAGTCGCGTAGTCTCGCTTTTAAACCCAATTTTTCACCGATCTTTTTATTTTTAAGTTTCATATTATCTTAAAATCATGCAAATGATTAAAGGTCGTTTGGATCGTCGTATCACATCATCTGAGGTGAATATTGGCGAAATAATCACTGGAATATTTGACCATTTCGGACAAGTTCTGTTATTTTCACCCAAAGTTTCACAATTTTTACACACAAAAAAATTACATGTTATGAAACTGATTAATAATATTAAGAGATTTTTGTTGTTTAAACTGTGCTTTTTCAACCAAGAAGTCCGTCCTGGATAAGAAACAACTTGCAATTGTTTATTTAACCTAGTTATATCGTGGGGTTTTTACGCTTTGTTGTATAAAAAGGCAAATAAGTGAATTTTTATTTGCCCTATTTGAATTTTTTTTCTCGTTTTATTGAAATTTGCGACTATTTTAAAAGGGATTTTCTTGAAAATTAGAAAATCTTACCCGTAGGCGGAGAAGTGCGGTGGCAGATTCTGTTCGACCGGCGTCCCGTCGTCCAACTCCCTGGTTTCCATGATTTTCCAGCCGAACGGATAAAAGAAAACAGGCCAAAAAATAAAACTAAAGACAAACCACAGAAGTCACTTGACACTCAAAAAAAGTTGGGACAACGGGGGGGAAAAAGGTACGAAAATGAAAAAAATAAAATAAATAAAAAAATGGGGAAAACTAAAAACACGGACCACCCCGGTCTCAGCTCCGGACCTGACTGAGCATTTCCCATTCTCCCAGTTCTTAACCGGTGGGGGAAAGGGATCAGTGGGAGAAGGGGACGGGCCCATTCACCGTCTCCCTCGGCACTCGGGGAACGGGCCTTCTCTTTCTCTCTTTTCCTTCGTCTCGGAGGGGACCAGGGCACGCCTATCCTTCGGGTCGCCGTCCAATCCAAGGGCGGGGGTCGGGTAATGTATTCTTCCAGGGATCGGCCCCTCCCGGATCAGTCGTTTTGGAGTTACCCTCAAACGAACAGGGTTGAAATCCCACTTCCAGGAAACTTGGAACGGGTACGATATCCCACATCCTAGATTACGGACCGACAACTTCAGCTGATTTTGAATACTTTCTGCTTCCTTTTAGGAACCATTTAAAATACAAAGCAGTTTAAAATGCAGTATTGACAACAGAATAGAAATAAACTGCTCAAAAATGAATAGGGATATTGCCAATTTTGTAATATTTACCATCCCTAGCATTTTATTTTACTTTTATTATAAATAGCATTAAAATTTATAAGAAATTATTGTTTTTTTACACAAAGAAAATTTAACTAAGTGATTTTGAAAAAGAACAATATAAAAAAATTTAATTCCATAATTTTGTTTATTGGACACAATAAATTTTTTAAACAATTATGTCCTCTGTTATTATATCATACTGTTAATAAGGTTGTCACTAATTTCATAAGGAATTTCACTCCATAGATGCTGCAACGCTGCACTCAGTTTTTGCAGGTCAACTAGCTGCGGATGGTCATCGAAAATCCTTCTCTGAGACGCATCCCACATGTGCTCAATGGGATTGAGGTCTGGAGACAATGGGGAAGGGGCAGATGGGAAATTCCCAGGTTTTTTAAACATCGATGATCAACTCTGCCTCTATGAGGTCTGCCATTGTCTATCCACAAATCAAAAAACCCTGCCAATGAGATCCCTGGTTTGAGAAATGTATTACTCGATAATTTTTTGGACATAACGGACTGGGGTGAGGTTGCCTTCGACAATCCAGTTCTTCCTCCAGTGTAAATCCCAGCCCAGACCGTTCCTCCAAACTGCACTGAAGAGAGCACGAACTCATCAGTAAACATAACAGCATTTCAATTGGTGTTCTCTTCTAGGCGCTCACTGCTCCATATTCTCCTGAGTTGTTGGTGGCGGACTGTTGCTGCAGGTCGTCTCAAAGGGGCATACGATGTCAGGCCAACTGATGATAAAGGCAAAACACTTGTATTTCATTTAGAATCTGGCGGGCACTATGAAAAGGTTCCGTTTCCAGCAACGACAATATGTCTGTCCTCCCTTGTGCTGAGATCCACTACCAGGCCTCTTATTGGCTAAAGCCCGGAAGACCACTGCCTCTGCGATATCCCCTTGCCTGTGGATGAATCATTCTCACAAATGCGAACTTCTGGTTCAAGATGATGGTTAAAGAGAATACAACTGAATTAAAATGGAGAAAAGACGAGAAAGGGTGATCTTTTACAAAATGAGTAATCTTCAAGTTTACAAATCTTAAGTAAATTCGCTGTTAAAAATGCGAATTAACATTTGTTGGTTTTTGTTATATCCAACTATATCGGGTATTCAGAATATATCGGGTAATTAATAGGATAAGAATAAATTACAAGTATCCCTATTCATTTGTGAGCAGTTTATTTGATTTGAATTCTTGGTGATTTACAAGGGAAGCATATGGAAAACAATAAGTAAATTTTAAATATGAATCAAAAAAACTGCTTGCCTTCAGAAAGTTAAAGACTTGATCTTGTCAGCAGGAGAGACAAGGACAAAAGAAAAAAACCCATAATAATCACATTATTAATTTTAATGTACATTACATTGAATATTCGGAAATCGTGAGATGCGGTCTGACGTAGGTTTCAGAAAAACATTTTTTTTATCGTGCCAACGTTTCGATCTTTACTGAGATCATCTTCAGGGCCTGGGATTTACAAACATTGTTTAAATTTAACAAATACCTTTAGGATGTGGTAAAAAATACTTTGACTGAATATAAAAAATATTTTTTGTATTGTATAAATTCACTTTTTCTACATCCTACATGTATTTGTTAAATTTAAACAACAATAACAACAATTTGTAAATCCCAGGCCCTGAAGATGATCTCAATAAAGATCGAAACGTTGGCACGATAAAGAAAATGTTTTTCTGACACCTACACCGCATCTCACGATTTCGAATAATCATATATATTATATTACATAATATAATATTACATTATATATTATAATACCATTCTGTTTTCAGAAAGGTGGAGCTTATACTAGGAATTAGGATTATTTTATCTTTCATTTTAAGTGTTTTCAAATTTTAAATAAGTTTTAATAAAAACCATTTATGTTTAGTCTAATTGATCATATTCAATATTTCAGTTAATTATTCTATTTTTAATATCTAGGTTGAGATGAAAAAGTTATTGTCACGAGCGGGATTCGAACCCACGTCCTTCGGCTGGTGGATTCGAATCCCACTCGTGACACTAACTTTTTCATCACAACCAAGACCTTAAATATAAAAAGAATAATTAATTTCATAAAAACTTTACGAAGATGTGCTATTTTTTGCCCCACAACAAAAGTAATATTTACTATTATTTCCAGGGGGCAATATTTTACTGGCAGATAATTACTTACATTTAAAATCTAATCAAATAAGTTATTTACGGCTTAAAAAATTGATGAAAACAATAAAATTACCTAATATAATTTTTTTTGCTGGGTAACTACCAGGGTCATCGCCGGCGCCCAACATATATAGCGTGCTCATATTTGTGTCTTTTTTTTAATTTTTCTTTTTTTTACGAGGGTTCGCAACAGCAGAGGTTATATCAGCCCTCGGGGTGCCGGTGTTTTTGACTCACTCTTTTCTAAATTTCTTTGTTTGTCATACTACTGTCCATTTCTGATACATAATTCTGAAGCGTTTTCCTTTTGGCGTCATTCAGAATTCTTCTTTCCTTAGATCGGGCTATTTTGAATTTCATTAGGTTTTCTTCTGTGGGGAATCTATTGAATAGTTCGAGGGTCCGCTTTTTTTCGATATTGGCCGCCTGGCACATGCCGTTCCACCAGGGAACTTCATTGCGTTTTATTGAGCACTGATTCGGCCGCGGCAGCCTTAATCGCTTCAGTCACGTGTTCGGCATCGATGTTTATGTCGCCTGTCGTTGTTGGAAAGGTAACAGCTGCGGAGTAAGCAGACCAGTTAGCTTTTTTCAAATTGTATCGTTTGTAGTACACACATTTTTCTAAACAGATAGAGCTACGGATGAATATGGGTGGTCGCTAAAATAGAAGACTCCTGCTGTGTCCCCCTGTATCGATATACCCGATGGTGCAAGAGATGAAGAGGCAAATGTCAAGTCTATTACACTATAATTTCCAGAATGGATATTTATATGCGTAGGTTTTCCAGAGTCCAACAATATCAAGTTTGTACTATCTACTATTTCTTCTTCTCAATTGTTATTGACGTAAATATTATTTATTCAACTGAAACCTGCAGTTATGTCAAATATAAATAATATGTAAGAAAATTTAATCTTATTGACTGATCTTATCAAGTGACATTTAGGATTCAGACCAACCTCAGAGAAATGGAGACAGGTACTGACCTTTTAATTTTTATTGGTTTACATTTAAGTGTAAGATTGTGATCACAAATCTTAAATTAATATTTATGAGATGATCTCAACCTTACCAAAGCCAATTGAAAATAAATATTAGCAATATTCAATTAATATAAACAGACAAGTCCATATAGACATACATAAATATAGCAAAAAGCTTTTTGAATAAATATTTACGAAATTAATTTTTATTGTTATATTAATCAATTGAAACTAAAGATCGTTGAGATTATAGTTTCAAATCATCATGACACGATCAAATAATTTTAAACTTTAGCATGAGGATAATTTTATAAACATGATTCGATATCGTTGCGATGATAGTTTTTATGTGATTATGACGTCAATATTGTCCAAATTGAAATATTTGACTTTGATGTGTATTGAAATATTTGATAAACCGCACAGTTCCGCTGTTTACAATTTTATCAGATCACTTTACTTATGATGTCACGAAAATAAATAAAGCTCGTTACGATGATGGTTTGACATCATTGACGTGAATATTGGGCAAAATTTAATATCTGACTTTGCCCCACAATTGGAATATTGGACCGGTCATGTAGCTCCTCGATTTACACCCCAATTTTTATAGTTTCTTTTCTTTAACATTGATATTGTAATATCTTGAATATCATTATCGTTAAAATGGTTATTTTATATACTTGTGACAAGAGTATTGGCCAAATTTGAATATCTGATTTCGCCAAAAATTGGAATATTGGACGAGTCAAGTAGCTCCTCGATTTACACCCCCATTTTCATAGTTTCTTTTTTTTAACATTGATATTGTAATATCTTGAATATCACTATCGTTAAAATGGTTATTTTATATAATTGTGTCAAGAATATTGGCTAAATTGAAATATCTGAATTCGCCCAAAATTGGAATATTGGACAGGTCAATTAGTTCCTCTAATTACACCCCAATTTCCACTTCTCCATTTTTTAACTTTGATATTATCATCATATCATGAATATAATTATTGTTAAGATGGTCATTTTATTACATTTTACATTGAGATAATTATTGTTCAAATTTGAATACCTGACTTTGCCCCAAAATAGGAATATTTGACGGTTCGAGTAGTTTCTCCATTTACACATCAATTTCCACACTTTCCTTTTTTTAACTCAGATATTATCGTCATATCTTGAATATAATTATCGTTAAGATAGTTAATTTACATAATTGTGACATGAGTATTGGCCAAATTTGAATATTTGATTTTGCCCAAAATTGGAATATTGGACAGGTCAAGTGTCTAGTTACACCCCAATTTCCACTGCTTCCTTTTTTTTATATTATCATCAACTTTTTTAAGTTTGATATTATCAGCATATCATGATTATAGTTATCGTTAAGA